ATTTGTTTCCAAGAAATTTTTTTTTATCTCATCCTTGATCTCATTGAGTACCTATTCATTATTTGATAACTTGCTATTTAGCCTCCAAGTATTCGACTGTTTTTGAGTCTTTTTATTGAGGTTAATTTCTAATTTCATGCCATTGTGATTCAATAAAATGCTTGATATAATATCAAGTTTCTTGAATTTGTTAAGGCTTGTTTTGTGGCCTAGCATGTAGTCTATCTTTGAGAGTGATGCATGTGCACTTGAGAATAAGGTACATACTTCAACTTTGGGGTGAAATATTCTCTAAATATCCATTAAATCCATTTGATCTAGTGTGTCATTTAGTGCCACTATATCCTTGGTGGGTTTTTTTTTTTTTTTGTCTGGAAGATCTATCCACAGTGGGACATTAAAATCCACTATTATGAGAGTATTATTGTCGATATGTTTAAGTGCCCTAAGATTTTATTTTATGTATTTAGGTGCTCCTGTATTGGATGCATATATGTTTATGAGGGTTATGTCCTCTTATTGGATTGGATCCTTAAGAAGTATGTCATGCTCCTCTCTGTCTCTTTTCATGGCCTTCATTTTGAAATCTATTTTGTCAGATATAAAGATTGCTACATCCCTTTTGTTTGTTTGTTTGTTTGTTTCCATTTGCATGGGATATTTTCCTCCAACTCTTGCTCTCAGCCTGTAGAAGTATTTTGCTCTGAGGTGGGTCCTTTGTAGACAACATGTACATGGGCCATGTTTCCTTATCCATTCAGTTATTCTATGTCTTTTGATTGGAGCATTTAATCCATTCACATTTAAGTTTATTATAGATAGTTATTTATTGCCATTTTTAAAATTGTACCTATGGTTTACTCTGTCTCTATTTCTTGCTCTTCTTATAGAAGGCCCTTTAACATTTCTTGCAATGCTGGTTTGGTGATAACGAACTCCTTTAACCTTACTTTGTCTGAGAAGTTCTTTATTTGGCCTTCAATTTTAAATGATAGCCTTGCTAGGTAACGCAATCTAGGCTGCATGCTCTTAGCTTTCATTACTCGGAATATTTCCTGCCAATCTGTTGGGAACCGCCCTGACTGGTATCAGAAAACTGAAACCCCCGCCTAGGCTAGGCTAAGGGAACGCCCTTGGAACCGTGAGCCGGCAAGGAGACAAAAGCTTATCTTCCTGGCAGGAATGCTGTTTCTGCTGCTTTGTTCATAACTGAACCCCCCAAAAAGCTTGGTCGGTTAGCCAAAGACGGGTAAGATTCCCCACGGGCGGAACAACCCAAGCCAGGCACGATCACTTTGGGAGGCCCCCCAAAAGAAGGACTTGGGGGGCTGCAGCAAAAGGGGGTGATGGACCCTCACTCCTCGGCTTTGACAAAGTCTGAGTTCTCAGCGTCCGGAAGAAAATCTCCTTATCTCTCGGTGGCCTTAGTTCCCGCGCTCCACCTAAGCCTGAAACAATGACGGGGAAGTACAGCTCGGTACTGGGAAGTGCGGATTTCCCGGGGTGATCAGGCCTAAGGAAGAACATGTAAATTACTGTGAAACCTTCTTTGTTTAAGAACGCTCTCAGTTGAATGAGAAGGGTCTTAGGAGGAAGCTAGTTTGTTCCTCAGCCTTACAGCTCTTTGACCCCCAACTCAATAGACCGGCAGAGTTCTTTGTTTCCTATATTCCTTACTTCCCCTAATGAGTATTGTACGGTTACCTGAGTTATTATGCAAAATGAGCCTAATAAAAGCAGGTATGGACCGTAAATCAGCGCGCTCCCCACTAGGGGGGGTGGCCATTCTGTCCCTACTTCCCCACAGAAACTGGTTTGTCTCTGTGCATGTGTGTTTTTTCTCGCGTATTGTCGAGCCATCCACAGTGTGCCGTGGTCACTGCTAGCCGGTGACCCACGCGCAACACCAATCTCTTCTGACCTATTGTGTTTCTATTGAGAAATCAGCTGAGATTCTAATGGGTGCTACTTGTATGTAACTGACTATCTCTCTTTTGCTCCCTTTTAAATTCTCTCTTTGTCTTCAAGCTTTGCCATTTTAATTATGATGTGTCTTGCTGTAAGTCTCTTTGGTTTCATCTTTATTGGGATTCTCTGACCTTCCTGGCTTTGTGTGCCCCTTTCCTTCACCAGGTTAAGAAAGTTTTCTGCCATCATTTCTCCAAATAAATTCTCTACACTCTTATACTCATCTCCTTCTAGCACTCTTATGATGCAGACATTATTATGCTTGATGTTATCCCAAAGATCCCTTAGGCTTTCCTTGTTTCTCTTAGGCCTCTTCCTCTTTCATTTTCTCTTTGGGTAGATACTGTCATCTTGTCCCCTAATTCACTGATTTGATCCTCTGCTTCATCTAACCTATAGTTGATGCCTTCTGGTGAATTCTTCATTTCAGATATTATAATCTTCATTTCTGACTGATTTTGGTTCACACTGAACATCTATTCTTCCCTTAAGGTCTTTGGACATCCTTATAACTATTATCTTAAACTCTGCATATGGTATTTGTGTTGCTTCCTTTTCATCTATATCTTTTCATTCCTTTTGTGGAGATTTCTGGTGTTCTTTTTCTTGGGACATTTTTCTTTGATTCTCCATTTGATCTCTATGTGTTAGGTAGGTGTGCTATGTCTCTTGAATATACATATTTTGAGTGTTTTATGATATTGGTGTCTTGCTGGGGTTAGTTGTTCAATCCTTCAGATCACCTGAACTCCACGGTTCAAGAGTGTCTCTTGGGAATTCTGTGACCCTCTTGTTGTAGTTGTTTTAAATGCTAATGGCTCCTTTGTGGGTGGAGTTATCGTCTAAGGCTGGGCAACTGTAAGAGTAGCCATTGATCTCCATATGTGGGATGCTGTGCAGTTGCTGCCCCTTGATGTGGCTTTGTTCCCAACAGTGTCTAGAGCCTCTGGGAATCCCCCTTTGGATACACTGATTGTGTTGCTAGTTGGTTCAAGCTTCAGTGTGGGCTTATGTCCATCACTGGTTTTGTTGATTCCAGTTGGGTGGGGTTCAGAAATAGATCACTTTTCAGATATTGTGTGAAACCAGCCCTGGGTTTTCTCTCTATAGCTGCCAGGCCATTTATTACTTGTGTCTATATGTACTGGACCTGCTTGTGCATGTAAGAGGCCAGTCTGTTTAAAAGAGTCAGTTCTTTCCTACTTGGAGCTGGTGGCAGTTCTATATAGGAGCCAAGGTTCCCCAAGGTTGGCCTCCCCATCTTAAACTTCCTGCCCTTCCCTGAGGTTGTCTTTCCAGAGCCTTTTGACAAGAGTCTGTAAGCTGAGATCAGGTCTGTTGAGATAAGGCTAGCATAGACTGTAGGTCATTCAGTGAGGGGAGAGTAACCCGTACTCGAAGCCAACCCCTTTTGTCTTTGTCAGAGACTCCAGCACTTGTTTCTTCAGGGGGGCTCACTGCTGGTTCAGGATGGACACATTCAACTTTCCCCCTTGCAGGAGAGAACTCAGCAGCTATGGCCTTGAGGGGACAGACTCAAAGGGGCCTCCCTTTGGGGTTGAGGCAAGACCCAACTGCAGGTGGGAGCTAGACTGTCTTTCTCATTCCAAGCCCTCAGTCAGAGGCTAAGCTCTCTGTCCTGCTTCACACTTCACACAATTCTCACACTTCAGCCTCGTGCTCAAACCATAAAAGCACCCCACACTGAGTTGTGATCTCTAATTTTCACAGGTGTGGTAGACTCTCATGGCATCCCACCACCAGAGACCCCATAGCCTCCCCTTTCCTCACCATTGCTATATTTTCACAGCCTCAGAGCTCAAAAGGGAGGGCACTCTGTAACAGCAATTTCAATCTAGTCTTTTTGCTGGTGGGGCAGCTGTGTGTGGGGTCCTTTCCCAGCCACATTTTAGTTCCTTAAGAAGTTTCTATGTGATACCCACACTGCAGTACTGAGTCACTGTTTGGTTTTCCACACATATAACTTCCTGCAAAAGCAAAATGTATCTCAAAGTCACAGCTGCAGCCTTCAGGTGTCTCTGTCAAAACTAGGTGTGGTGACATGATTGATTTAAGAGTCTGAGACCTTATCTGAGCTCTCCAGGTTGGCACTGCAGTTATGAATGTGCTGCTTGCTGTGTGTGTGTAGCCTGGTAGCCTTGGTCAGAGGTAGGAAAGGGAGAGAATGAGCACCTTATGCAGCAAGTTCAGCAAAAAAGTGTCCCCAAGTAATTGGAAAAATATCAAAAACAGAAATAGTCAGTTTGAAACTGGAAAAGCAGGCATTTGTGCTGCCTGTTGCCTACCAGGCCCAATAAGCAGAGACAGGAATTGCATTTTTATGGGTGCTTTATTCAAATGGCTGGTGATCTGTGAAGACTTGTGGGTTTGTGCCCTAGCAGACCACATATTACATTTCCTCTCACACCAGCCTTTTTATAACAGAGAACAGTGGGGGTGAAGGGTTTCAGAGCAAATTAGATTAAAAAAACCCCTTTAGCATTCTTGCCCTGGGCTATTAGCTGTCCCAAAGCAGTCATCTGTCTCTCCTTGGAAGGCAATAATGGCTCAGATAGCTCTAGCTGTGCCCCCAGGTGGTGGTCTTTAGCTGTGCCCTAGGAGGTCATCTATCTATCTCTTCCAGGAGCCAGGGTAGGCTGTACCTGCAGTTCCTGAAACAATAGCATTAACATATGCATTACCTACTATGCTTTTTAACTATTTACCTTAAACTAAAATTTCCCAACACTTGAGTCCCCCATCAAGTTTAAGTATTGGTATCAGGCTATTTCTATGCAAGAGAGGAAAGTGATTGATATAGGAGTTAAAGAAAAGGGAGAAGACCAAAAAGCCAAGCTATTCATTAGATGAGAGAAAAAGGAACACTTAAAAACAAGGAGAGTTGTAAAAACATGCTATCACCAGGCATAATTAGTGGAAATTGTTTGAACCAATAGGAAAGTGAAGAATTAAAATGAGACTGAAAGAAGAGGTAGAATGGGGATAGAGATCAGAGGGATCATGAGGGTGACTTTCCTGTCCTTGGGCTCTTGGGCCAACATGAGACATATTAATAGGTTTTTGTCCTCTGAGCAGTGACCATCAGTGATGACTCTGCAAAATGTGAAGATGGAGGTGAACCTCTGAAAGCTTCCACCCCAGCAGTGAAAAGGAAAACTGGTAAGGAGGTGGGAGCTCAAGGCTTGGGCTGCAGGAACCTGAATTAAGAGCTACTGTTTCCTGAGACATCTATTGTGAGTTCATGTTGCACCATGGATCCAGTTTATCCTGGGTCCTATTCTCTGTATTTTATTTGACCATTTTGGAATGTGCAAGGCAATAAGAAATCACTGCATTTATATATATTTTTGAAGAAGAAGCTATATATTGATGGTTCCTATTAATATCGTATATGTATCCATATATTGATTCTATAGTAGAAATAGGCTAGTAAAGTAATAAGTTTGTCTTAAAATTAACTAACTGATACGACTATTCAGTATTGAATTTATACAATTGTCTCTAAAGAGAAGAGAAAAACAAGTATTTCTTTATTGGAAGGTCATTGTCATCTGATCACAAACATTGAACAGTGTCAGAAGACAACTCATTCATCTAGTATTAGCAGAAATAGACAAAGTGTTTTAAAATCCAAAGTGTTGTTTTTGACAGAGTTCTTCAGCAAGTCATGACATAAAAGTATAGTGACTTTCAAGGGCCTTTGCAAATAGTATCTTACTTTTTTCTTTACAGCAACTGTTATGGGTAAACAGGATGGGTGTGGTCACCCCCTTTTCTAGGTGAGAAAACACAATTACATAAATGTGTCGAGGTGTTTTACAAAGCCTTATAGAGATAAAAAGAAGTACAAGACTAACTTTCTGGATTTTGCATTTTTTTGGTAAAAGTAGAACTTGAAATGGGTATCAAAATGGTGTTTCCCTAATCCTATGGGCAGCATGAGTGGTAAAAAGACCTGTAGCTCTTTAGGGCACAGACTGCTGGTTTGTTTCCCTTCTTACTTTCTCAGAGGATGTTGAAAATGTGCCTATTCAGGAAAACACTAGGAGAATACCTCCAAACTAATAAAAGTGTTACCTTGTCTTTATGTTACCAAAGTACAATTTTGTCGATAATAAACTTCTTGTAATACCTCATTATGTCTACCCATGTAAAATGTAAGTTTGCTTCAGTTTTGGGGGAGTGTACTTTCTAACTTGTGTCTCAGTGTAGGAAACTGCTCTAAAAGGTGATTTTGAAGTCGGTCTATGGCTCAAACATAAGAGATTGTTTCCCAGCCTTGCAAACAGCCCAAGGGGCATGAGTGGTTGGGGGGCAGGAGGAGTGTCTCTATCTTCAACACAAGATTTCCAAATTCCCCTCACAAAGAAACAGCAGATGAAGAAAGTGTGAAATGGCAATAGATGGAGAAAGAGGAAGAAGAGGGAGAAGTGTAGGGAGGTCAGGTTCAAACAGAGCAGTGAATTGTCTCTGCTCAGGGCACAGGGAATGGAGCATCACTAATCCCCAAGACACTTGACTTAGAAGAGCAGCCCAGGAGGCCTGGATGTAAGCCATGGTTTGCATGGTTGTTCAAGATTTTCCTGTTTTGTTATTAGTGAATTTCCTCTGAGAAGGTTTTTGGTCACTTGCTGTGACAAATAAAGCATCGTACTCTTTTGTGCAGTGATTAATGTCCTTGACTCTTTAGATTCAAGTGCTCACAATGCTAACATGCACAGGATATGAATATATAAATATATGTTTTATGGTTGTTTAAATAGTTGTTTCCACTTTCTCTCCCTCCCCCCCCCCCCACCTCCCACCTCGGTCCTTCCCCTCTTTGGCTTTGTCCATGTGTCCTTTATATATGTTCCTTGAAGACCTTTCCCCTTCTTTCCACTCTTACCCTCCTCCCCGCTCCCTTCTGGCTACTCTCACTTTATTCTTTATGTCAATGTTTCTGGTTATATTTTGCTTGCTTGTTTGTTTCATTGATTAGTTTCCACTAATAGGATAGGAATATTTAAAAAATTTTTAACTGTATTTTTTTATTACTATTTATATACCTTATATACCCCTTCCCCCACCTCCAGAATCACCACATTGTTCTTCATGTCCATGAGTCTCAGGACATGAGACTCATTTTTGCTTGATCCCTTCACCCCCTAATCCCCCTGACTTAGAGACACCAGCCTGCTCTCTTTCTATGAGCTACCTCTAGTTTGCTTGTTCAGTTTGTTCATTAGATTCCACATATGAGTGAAATCATGTGGTATGTCTTTCTCTGACTGGCTTATTTCACTCAACATAATTTTCTCCACACTCATCCATGCTGTCAAATGGGGTAAAATTTTCTTTTCTTTATGGTTGAGTAGTATTCCATTGTGTAAATATACCATAGTTGTTTTATCCACTTATCTACTGAGAGACACTTGGGCTGCTTCCATGTCTTGGCAATTATAACTAACGCTGCAATGAACATACAGATGCTTATGTTCTTTTGAATTTTGGGTTTCCTCAGATACACTTGCAGAAGTATGAACACTGAGTCAGAAGACAAACTTAGTTTTAATTTTTTGAGGTGTCTCTATACTGCTTTCCACAGTGGTTGTACCAATCTGTGTTCCTACCAACAGTCTGTGAGGGTTCCATTTTCCCCACATCCTTGACATCATTCCCTGTTTGTTGTTTTGTTGATGATATCCATTCTGACAGATGTGAGGTGATATCACATTGTGGTTTCATTTTGCATTTCTCTAATGATTAGTGACTTTGAACATCTTTTCATATATCTGTTGACCATTTGTTTGTCCTCTTTGGGGAAGTCTCTGTTCAGGTCCTTTGCCCATTTTTTTTAACTGGATTTTTTTTTGTGGTGTTGGGTCTTGCAAGTTCTTTATAAATTTTGGATATTAGCTGCTTATCAGGTGATTGGTGATCATGATCTCCCATTCTGTGGGTTGTCTTTTTGTTTTGTTGATGGCTTCTTTTGCTGTACAAACACTTTTAGTTTGACAAAGTCCCATTTGTTTATTTTTTCTTTTGTTTCCCTAGACTCAGGAGATATATCAGATAAAAAATTGCTATTAGCACTGTTCAAAGTCTTACTGCCTTGTTTTCTTCTAGAAAGTTTTATGGTATGGGGTCTAATATTTAAGTGTTTAGTGCATTTTGAATTTATTCTTGTGTGTGGTGTAAGAAAGTGGTCTAGTTTCATTTTTCTGCACTTATCTGTCCAATTTTCCCAACACCATTTATTGAATAAACTGTCTTTATCTCATTGTATGTGTTTTCTTCCTCTGTCAAATATTAATTGACTGTTAAGTTGTAGGTTTATTTCTGAGCTCTCTATTCTGTTCCATCAATCTAAGTGTCTTTTAAAGCCAGTACCATGCTGTTTTCATTACTATGGCCTTATAGTATACTTTGATATTAGGTAGCATGATTCCTCCAACTTTTTTCTTCTTTCCCAGGATTGCTATTGCTGTATGGGGCCTTTTGAGATTCCATATAAATTTTTGAAATATTTGTTCTTGTTCTGTGAAATATGTCATTGGAATCTTGATACAAATTGTGTTAGATCTATAGATCACTTTGGGTAGCATGGACGTTTTAATGATGGTATTCTTCCTATCCATGAACATGGTATGTGCTTCCACTTATTTGTATCTTCTTCTATTTCTTTCTTCATTGTCATACAATCTTCTTCTATTTCTTTATTGTCATCCAAGGAGGTCTTTTACATCCTTGGATAGGTTTTTTCCTAAGTATTTTATTCTTTTTGAAGCTGTTATGGATGGGATTGATTTCTTAATTTCCCTTTCTGTTAGTTCATTATTGGCATATAAAAATGCAACTGATCTTGGGATATTAATTGTGTGCTCTGTTTCTTTTCTGAACTTATTTATCATTTCTAGTAGTTTCTTGGTAGGATATTTAGGGTGTTCTATGTACAGTATCATGTCATCTGCAAATAATGACAGTATTCCTTCTTCCTTTCCAATTTGGATGCCTTTTGTGTCTTTTTCCTGACTGATTGCTGTGGTGAGGACTTCCAGTGCTGTGTTGAATTTATCCCTGTCTTGTTCCCCATCTTTATGGAACACCTGAAGTTTTTGCTTATTGAGTATGATGCTGGCAGTAGGTTTGTCATATATGGTCTTTGTTATATTTAGGTAATTCCCTCTATTCCCACTTTGCTGAGAGTTTTTATCACAGTTGGGTGCTGGATTTTCTCAAATGCTTTTTCCTGTATCAATTGATGTGTTCATGTGGTTTTTATCCTTCCTTTTGTTTATGTGGTGTATCACATTTATTGATTTGCAAATATTGTACCAAACTTGCATTCCCAGAATAAATCTCACTTGATCATGGCATATGATATTTTTAATTAGACCTCTCCCTTTGGCATTATGTAGTGTCCTTCTTTGTCTCTGACTGTAGCCTTGGTTTTAAAACTTATTTTGTTGAATGTAAGCATTGCTCCCTTAGTTTTTTTCCCCATTTGCATGAATGTTTTTTCCTCCCTTTACTTTTAGTCTCTTTTAAGGAGCATATATCTGGATCTTGTTTTCTTATCCATTCAGTTCCCCTATATCTTTTGATTGGAGCATTTAAGCCATGTACATTTAAAGTGATTATTAATAGATATGTATGTATTGCCATGTTGTTTTCTTTTCTTTTTCTCCTTTTTCTTAAAGCAAGTCCTTTAATGTTTGTTGTAGTACTGGTTTTGCATACACAAATCCTTTAGCTTTTTCTTGTCTAGGAAGCTCTTTATTGCTCCTTCAATTAAATGAGAGTCTAGCTGGGTAAAGTAGTGTTGGTTTTAGGTCCTTGCTTTTCATCACCTTCAATATTTCACTCTGCTCCCTTTTGTCCTGAAATGTTTTGATGAGAACTAAGATGACAGTCTAATGGGAGCTCCCTTGCAGGTAACTAACTGCTTCTCTCTTGTGGTTAACAGTCTCTTCTTGTCTTTAAGCTTTCCTAACTTAATTATGATGTGTGTTGGTGTGGGCCTCTTTGGATCCATCTTGTTTTGGACCCTCTGCTCTTCCTGGTACTGTCTTTTTTCTTCCCCTGATTAGGGAGGTTTTCAGTCATTATTTCTTCAAATAGGATCCCAATCCCTTGCACACTTTCTTTTCCTTCTGGTATCTCTATGATGTGTTATACTTCATGTTATCCAAAATATTTCTTAAGCTCATCTCATTTTTTTAAATTATTTTTTCTTTTTGCTGTTCTGCCTTAGTGTTTTCTCCTACCTTGTCTTCCAAATCAGTGATTTGATCCTCTGTTTCATCTAACCTACTCTTTATTCCTTCCACTGTGTTATTTATTTCAGATATTGCATTCCTGACTTCTGTCTGGTTCTTTTTTATGGTTTTCATATCTTTTTTGATTCTGTTGAGCATCCTTATAATCAGTAGTTTAAAATGTATACCTGATAAATTGCTTGCCTCCACTTCATCTAGCTCTTCTTTTGGAGAATTCTCTTGTTCTCTCTTGGTGACTGTTTCGTTGTCTTCCCATTTTGGCTGCCTCTTTTAGTTTGTTTGTATGTGTTAGGTTGATATGAAAACACTCTGCTGGCAAATTAGTCTTTATTTTGAAAGAATTGTTTTCAAGATTAAAAATCCTAGGTGAACACTTATTTCTCCTCAATATACTGATATGACTATTACATTGTCTTTTAGAGTCTATCATATGGCTGATGAATATTCCCCTTGTATTTTAACAGTCATTTCTTTGTTAGTAAGCTTCTTTCTCAGCAAAATCTTTTTCCAACCATTTAATTATGAAAAATTTCAAGCTACCAATAACATGGGAAAATTTACAGTAAACATAGATTGACAATTAACATTTACCATTCTTGCTCTATCACATTTCTCTCCATCTATCCATTTCCCTATTTATTCACTAACCATCCTAAATTTGAAACATTTTAAAGTTGCAAACAATACTACACTTCCTTCCAAACACTTTGACATGTGGGTTATTAACTGGACTTCAATGTTTGTATTTATTATATTTTCTCTGATAGTATTTAGAATGAGATGTGTAAGTATTACGTACATCATTCTGTCAGTTCAGATTAAATTACTCTCCTCTAAAATGCAAATCTTTATCAAGAGATGGAATGTGACCATCACCCTGGAACTTAAAAAAACCTTCTCTGAGGAGAGAAGGGAGACTTTATTATCCTGGGATATTTCTAAGGAGGGAGAGATTCTCTATTTTATATTGGTTGGGAAACAAATTTGCCTTCTGACATGGAGGGCTACATTACCTCTGGCTTCTAGAACTGTTTGTTATTCACACATCCTTGAAAAGATACTCTGGGGCATGTGGCAACCCATGGAGAGTTGCCTCCCAACAAAGTGACCTGACATAGCAGATCCTGGCAACCTCCGCATGAGGACAGCACTCCACTAGCTATGAAGATTACTGGGACCACTGGAGTCCAGGACCAAATTCATCCAATTGGTCTCCTTCAGTATTTAACAAATTTCCTAAACCACAATTGTTTTAAGTCTCTTATAATCATCCCTTACAGTTCAAGTCACCGTGTTTGCATGAGAGGCAAATGAAGGCCTGGCTTTCACACAAGAGGTGCAATCCCAAGGCATTGTTTTGGACCCTCTGCTCTTCCTGGCACTGTCTTTTTTTCTTTTCCTGATTAGGGAGGTACTGCACTATGACCCTGAAAGAGATGCATTTACAATTGTTGAGGCTCCTAAGGGTAATATAGCAGCCAAGGTAAGATGGGACCCTGACCACCTGTACTCCTTATAGTTCTCAGTTCTGTTCATAATTGATGGGGTTTTTAAAGAGGTGGGAGCAGGGCAGTCTCTCCAATCTGACCTCTTTGTTCATAATGTCCTGATGGATTTGTCACCACTACTCCTCACTACTGAACGACAGAATCAGTGTGCAGACATTGTCCAGAGATACTCTGCATGAGATGTGCAAATACTGGCACCAGCCCCTATTTCCTTGTGTCAGATGCTGAGTGGCAGACTCAGCATCCCTGAAGTGGGAAACCTGGACCAGGTGGTTTCCTTGTGGAGAGGACTCAGGGCTGTTCTGAATGACAGGTATCATAATGCCTCTCCACCTCCCATAGCTTCCAGCTGTTTCCTTTAGGTGCCTGGATCTTTGCTCTTCCTTCACTGACATGAAACCAGTGTGTGACTTTCCACTGGGTTCAATTTTATCTTTCTTTCCATAAGCTCCTACTGTCACTCAGACTTTCCATCCAGAAAAATAAGACATAAAAAGTGCAAAGGCATTTCCAAAAATATATAATGATAATTAAATCCAAATGGTCTGGGCACTCCTGTGATTCTGCCTTCCAGGCTGGTTGGGGAAAGATAGAGGCATCATTCCCAGGAAGGGTCAGAACAGAATCCAGAATTTTCAGAATTGGTCTCTGTAACACCATTATTCCCATCCCACCCCACCCTTGCCTTTGAAACTAATCTGTTTCTGCCTTCTTGGGGACAGCTGCCTTACATGACCAAAGAGCCGTAACAGAGAATTATGTGCACAGAAGGAGACAAGGTCATAGAGTTAGATGATCAGAGCATTCAGTGTAGTTTTTTATAAAGTGCACACCATTCCTCAGACTGCAAATAATCCGGCCAGCCATGCAATTTGCAGATTGCTCTAGAGCTTCCTGAGCTCCCCTTTCAGCTTTGGAGAAGGCTAATGTCGGAGAGAAATAAGGCAAAGCAGTGAACACAAACAACATGTAGACACGATCTCCACCAGGTCACTCCATCTTTGTCCTCTCTGCTCCTGAGTCAGAGCTCACACAGGAAGAGGCAGGTACAGTCTCAGACTTTGTCTCCAGCGACCTAAGTGCAGGGAAATAGCCCCGCTGCAGAGCTCACTTCTACCAAGACAGCAGCTGTATGCATCACTGTCACATAAGAATTAGGGGGGCTGACTCCATGGGGCACTAAGATGGTTGTATTGACACTAGGTGTCCCTGCTAAAGCATTCTGATTGTGGGGGTGTTGAGAGGTGTAATGAAGGTAGACATTCTGTGATTATGTATCAAAAATGCCAGTCAAAGAAAGACTCTGAAACTCTGGATATTTGTGGAATAAAGTTTCCTAAGTACTCCTATGACTTTACCAAAAGTACCTCAAGATGGTAGAAAGTTTTCTGTGTGTAATTGTAATATGAGACAGAATGAAGAAACTTCTCTTTCAGGGATAGGACAGCAGCCAGATGTGCCTGTGGATTTTCAAGCTGAAATAGTTCCTGTGACTTGTAAAGAGAAGATGGGGCTGTTAATTAAGAGAAGAATAGAACAAGGTAGGTTTTATGGTTTACTTTAATTTGCAACCGCCATAAGAAGGAATCCCATGATATAATGGAATTATCCATGTGTACTTCCTGTTGTTCAAGGAATACAGGCCCCACTGTGACTTGAAAGAAAAAGGAGGGATCCCTAAAGTGATATTCTTACACTTTTTAAAAGATTGTTTATTTTTAAATTTTTATTTATTTATTTTTAGAGAGAGGGGGATGGAGGCAGAAGCAGAGGGAGAGAAACATCATTGTGTTGTTACTTCTCACTTGCTTCCCACTGGGGACCTGGCGCCCAACCCAGGCATTTGCCTTGACTGGCAACCCTTTGGTTTGCAGGCTGGCACTCAATCCATTGAGCTATACCAGCCAGGGTGATATTTTTACACTGTAAGCAGTGGTGCATATTAAGTGCTCACCCCCATGTGGATGTGTCCATGAGGATGCCCAAAGAACCAAAGAGAAGTGTAGGATCATCAGTCTATGGGCGGAAAATACTGCATTTTTTACTTTGAATCAGATATAACAGGAAAGAGGCCCTCAGCCTCCATGTTCACGTCCTGTATCCCATCTGGGTAATGACCACCAGGACAGGGTGTTAGATGTAGTGAGGAGACCAGAGAGTTTAGAATCAGAAAACCTGATCCCAGCCTCAGCTCTGCTGAGAGTGACAGTGTGAAGAATGGGAACTTCCTAAGCCTGAAACTTCTCATCTAAGATATGGGTAATCATTACAAATCTGCTTCCTGGTGTGATGTTGAGAATTTATTTACATAATGAATGTAAATATTTTGTGATTTTAAAACTATAAATCTTTTCAATAATTATTATTTTGAACTTCTTATCAGATTATTCTTAATATGGTTATGTGAACAATTAATACAATTAAAAGCTTGCATCATAACTGTCTTTTAAACAGCTTCACTGCGATATAACTCACATACATTTCACCATTTAAAGTATGGAATTCACTGTTGACTATTTGTTTGTCTGTCTTGTTCATCCACAAGATTACAGAATCATCATTATAATCTAATTTTAGAACATATTTGCCCCTCACTAAAGGAAACCGCATGTCTCTCATCAGTCAATGCCAATTTCCACCCTGCCCCATCACCCATCCTGAGCCACCATTAATTACATTCTGACCCATAGATTGATCTATTCTAAGCATTTCATATCAATTGAGTCATAAAAATTGTGCCTTTCTGTCACTGGTTCTTTCATTCAGAATGATGTTTTCAAGGTTTATATGTGTAGTACCATGTGTTATACTTCTTTTTCCTTTACTAGTATATCTAATAAATTCTGGTGATCAGGAAACTCACAGATTTGGTTGATTTTGGGTGCAAATTACATGAGAGAATGCAGGTTACCATAAAAGAGATGAAGGAAGATGCATGGAGAACCAATAGTGAAGGGAAGGAAACTGGGACTCAAAACAATAGAGTGGACCAGAAGGAAGAAAGAAACAAGGAAACAGAAAAGAATGGAAAAATAAGAATTCAAAAAAACGAGGAGAAGCTTAGGAAACCTCCAGGACATCCTTAAACATTCCAACATCTGAATTATAGGGGTACCAGAAGGGGAAGAGGAAAAGCAAGAGATTGAACACGTATTTGAACAAATAATAAAGGAGAACTTTCCCATTCTGGCAAAGGAAATAGACTTCCAGGAAATCCAGGAAGCTCAGAGAGCCCCAAAGAAGTTGGACCCAAGAAGAAACACACCAAGGCACATCATAATTATATTAGCCAAGGTAAAAATGAAGGAGAGAATCCTAGAAGCAGCAAGAGATAAGGGGACAGTAACCTACAAAGGAGTTCCCATCAGACTGTCAGCTGATTTCTCAAAAGAGACCTTATAGGCAAGAAGGGGCTGGAAAGAAATATTCCAAGTCATGAAAGACAAGGACCTATATCCCAGATTACTCTATCCATCAAAGCTTTCATTTAGCATGGAAGGGCAGATAAAGTGCTTCTCAAATAAGGTCAAGTTAAAGGAGTTCATCATCACCAAGCCCTTATTTTATGAAATGTTAAAGGGACTTATCTAAGAAGAGAAGATAAAGAAAAAACATGTATAGTAAAAGGACAGCAAACTCACAATTATTAACAACCACACCTAAAGCAAAACCAAAAGAAACTAAGCAAACAACTAGAACAGCAGCAGAACCACAGAAATGGAGATCCCATGGAGGGTTAGCAACAGGGGAGTGGGAGGAGGAGAGAGGGGGAAAAGGTACAGAGAATAAGTAGTATAGATTGTAGGTTGAAAATAGGGGGAGGGTAAGAATAGTATGGGAAATGTAGAAGCTAAAGAACTTATAAGTATGACACATGGACATGAACTAAAGGGGGGGATATGGGTGGGAGAGGGTGTACAGGGTGGAGGGGAGTGAAGGGGGGAAAATGGGACAATTGTAATAGCATAATCAATAAAATATATTAAAAAATAATACCATCAAACTAGAAGAACACTGTTGTAACACAAGACGCAGATGTTGCCATAGTGCCATTGTGAGCAACAGGGCCCCCACTTAAGACTTCCCTCCATAACAAGAAAAGACCTTGGAGGGGTCTTGCAGGATTGGGGATTTGGAAGTATGAAAGAGGATGCCAGACTCTCCTGCTATAGATCTTGTATCCAAATATGTTGACTTCAGATCCAGTGTTGGGGAAGGTCAACATCTGAGCTGTGAGGACAAAGGTTTCAGGAACAATTTACCCAAATCTTTCAGGAACTACAATGAAGTGCATAGCAGAGGCAGAAATACATTGGTTCACCCTCGGTGAATTTGAAATCAGAGGAGTCCACAAAACACTGGACCAATGGAAGATGAGACTGCACTGTGGTAAGAGAACCCTGGGAAACCTGATGAAGGTATTCCAGTGACAGGGGCAGGAGGTGTAGCTTCTTGTTTTGGTCAAAGATGAGGTCACTATTTGTTTATGAAATACACGTTGAGTTGTGGCTGGAGCCCTGAGGTCCCATACTTTATCCTTTCCCCAGGAAGAGGCACCCCATTCTCATACCTCAGTACAAGGGAGCTCAATGATTTCTCAAAAGGGGCACTGTCTGGGTAAATGCAGGGGTCTGGAGGAGGGAAAGGTCATTCTGTCCCAGGTCCTTGCAGAAAACATTTGACACTGAAAGAAAGAAGATAGTCTGCGGTCAAACAAGTGGGCATAAGACACTCCAGAAAAGAGTGGTGTAAAAACCAGAACCACAATTACCTTGACTCAGTGACTTGAGGTAGAGGGATTGTGTGTGATACAGCATAATTCATCAATTACAGTTGTTTGTGTAGGGAATTAATGCCAAGATAAGGAGTTTAAATTCATTACATAGACAGTGCAGAACCAGGGAGTCTCCTGAGGTGTGACATGACATATTAAAACAGCATCTCAGACAACATGAGAACGTGAACAGACTTCACTGTCTTTCAGCTCAAGAAATGTATAGTCAACATGCAATGCTGACCTCCCATGTCACTCCTGTCTGAATGTTCCCTGACTGACCTGCCCTAGTGACCCCTTCGCTGGGCCCTCTGAACTATTTTGGCCCTCCTCACACTGTTTCATTCTTATTTTTCCATCCATTCCTTTTGTCTCTCTAGATTCCTCTAGAGTTTGTCCATGATTATGTGCTCAACATTGTCCAGAGAGTGTGACATCCTGTAGGTATAGGACACATGTGTGTCAGTTGAACTCACACCTACAGCCCTGGTGTGAGGATGTAGGTGTGAGTGACACTGATGGGAATGGAAAGGAATAGTGAGAAGTGTCAAAGAGATTGTGAAGGAAAACAGGAAAAAAGCATGTGAGCAAGGAAAAAGTTCTGAAGATTATTTTCTAGGGACCATTTTTTACTTTGAGAACAGGTGAGGAAAGAGAGGAGGTTTCTTATTTACATACCTTGGTTTGAGCTGACAGCAGAACATTTGAGTAGAAATATTTATGAGGAGGTTGGAATGCAAGACCCATGAAACTTAAATACAGACTTCCCATGTACTTATATATTTTTATCTTTCAGGATGGAACTCTGAGTAGACCTCCAAGAAAACATGGTTCAAATAAAGAGGTGATTATTACTTTATATGAGTTCTTATTACATAACTGATTTTATACGTACAGCATCTTTTTTATGATTTCATGGTGGCATAATGAACATTGTCTCCCCTTCTCTTCTCACCTGTCTTTATTTCATTTTATTTATTTTGCATGCCTTCAGAGTTACTCCATTGAACAAAAATTAGGTTGTATGCAAGGTTATCTGTGAACTGTAGACAATTTGAGGCTGGGATGATAAGATTCCATCAAAATAGCCTGAGAGAAGTATTTTAGTTACACAGATGTTGTAAGAGTGTCAAACCTATTAAACAAACATGATTATGGAATACACAAAAACATTTTCAATAAGGTCACAAGGTCATTTTCAACTCAATCCTGTATTGTTTTTGTTAAAGGTTATGATTTCCTAACTTCAATGAAATGTGAAGGAATAAAATTTGCTCCCTATCATCCAGATGAACCTGTCTAGTAGACAGTCTATCTTGAGACAGATATGAAACCATATACTACTTCATGAGAGAAGAAACTAAGGGCATATTTCTTCTCTGATTACTTACATACTCTTTCATCCTTCAATAAAATATACACACAGACATACAGATTTCTTTCTCAAGCAGAAATTATTAGCAAATTTTTCATGAGGCGTTGCTGTTGGGGAGGGAGCTCTAGAGAAATGGATGTAGCCTGTGTGAGAGGCTGACCTGGAAAATTGTTTACTTTGATGCCACCCCTTTGGCTCCACCTCAGGGACTGAGCAGGCCTCCTTTCTATATGTGAAAGTGGTTTCTCCCTCTGTGGAAGAACATGGAGGCAACAACAACAACAAAAATACATAATATGCAGTGTAGATTCAGGACAAAGTAGTAATTTTCACAACATCTGGTATGAATGAGAACTTGAGAAGGAGGGGAAGGTGCAGGTGCCATTCTCACACAGTACAGATACAAATGACCACCCAGGATGTTCACAATATTCTATATTAGCTTACACAGATCTGGCCACTGGGACTTCATCTAACACTGGGAATGTGAAGTCCAGGCCTTTACATTATCTGACTATCTGGATTTTTTAAATAACCAAATGTTGGGACACTTCACCCACTGTGTACTGTTGGACCTAGTCAGTGATTAAGAGCAGTGCCTCTACCATTCTCCATGTGTCAAGGGTTACTTAATCTGGATTACCTAAAGGAGCTAGCAACTTCCAACCTATGGGTTTCATCCTTATCCATGGGCACAAGTGTTGGCAGAAAGAAGACTCAATTGCTTATATATTTTGTGTTTCCTTGATCAAGGACAGAAGCTTTCCAAAGTGGCAGGTCTTAAGATCCAGTCCTATCTCAGTCCAAAACTTCTCTTGATGGAGCCCCAGGTTTCTGGAAACTTCAGTGTCACTCTTGGCACCATTCCGCAGCTTCTTGTGCTAATAAGAGCCACTTATACTTTTGGTGACAACTGTTGTGTTGTCTACGACAAAAATCTATTATATTCAGCCAGAATAATCATTTATTGTATGTTAATATTTGCTTTAAAAGATAGCAATAATCTCTTTTTCTAAGTGAAACAATACTCATTTAATCATTCAACATATAGTTATTAAGTGCATAAAGAATGTTTAATGGCCATTAAAGAATATCAAAATAATATCACTGACCTCAAGGATTGTTTCACCTTCATTGTCTACCATGGAAGAATAACTATTAGGGGCAGGGGATCCTGGGATACCCAAGAGGCAGGCAGCAACATGACCATTTCTCAGGCTACTTTCCAGGGGATCACATTTGTCTGTGACCTCTCTGCCCTGGGTGGAGATAAAAGCTGAAGGCCCCTAAAGAGAAGGAGGTCAAATCATTCTACTTAAAGAACATAGAAGAGCAATGCAAGTGTAGTATGCAGCAGTCAGTTTCTTGTGGAAAGGCAGCCAGGTGACATCTTGAGATTTGGAAGAAAGGGAAATGAGGGTGACCTTCTAGAAGAAGAACTGCAGTACCAAGGACCTTGGATTCATTTTATCTTTGTTGTGAGGCCCTAAAACAGCTGCAGGAAATGGTGAATATCTTCCTTGGGACATGTGCACATTTCCCACAATCCTAAAAATAGACAGAGACTCAGACGGTCCTTCCTGTCATACTACAAATGGCTAAATTTCATGGGGAGGAGAAGTCAACTGTTCCAGCAAGAATACCTGGAATTCTCACACCTGTTAATGAAAATTTTCTTCAGTAGACATTACAGACCAATTCAATGACTTACAAGATCCTCACTCATTAATAACCACACTTGCTCAGGCTCAATCTCAATTTAGGCTGTACTGAAATCACCTAAAGACATTTGATCAGTCTCAGTTCCCACTGTGCATGTCATTCAGGATTCTCCTGGAACACTGAGTGGCAGCTATGGCAAGACTTTCCTTGGGGCTTGTATTTTCTCATGTATAGATATTTTTAAATCAAAAGAAATAACCCAAATCCTGATTCACCCAAGGTAAGAATATTCACCCAAAATTCCAGAACAAGATTCAAAATAATTCCTAGTGACTTTTCATCCTTGATTATATTCTACATTAAGAAAAATAACATAGCTTTGTTCCAAACTACTCTGCCCAATGATTTTAAGAAGCACATTTCTGATCTTTCTGTGTGTTGTTATTAGAGATATAATACAGACTTTGAGAAACAGACCCCTCATTTATGTATTAAGTTGGAACCATTCTTTAGGGTCTCAGCTTCCCTGTTTGCAGTGGACCCTACAGGGACAATGGATTTAACAACAACAACAAAAGCTTATATTTTACTGTGAGAAGAAATGGGGATAGATTGGATTTGGGACACAAGCAAGAATAGGGACTCAGAATGGATTCTCAGGTTTGTGGTTGAAGGTGCATGTTTTATGAGATGGAAGCACCAGGAAAGAGCAGGTAGTGGGTTGGGGAAAGAGAATACATTATGTTTTGACTGGATAAGTTTGGGGTGTGATTTAGGGCCCAGGAGGAGATGCTGGTGAGCACAGGGATGTACACAAAGGCAGGAGGCAGGGTGGACATAGGGGCACTAGAGACATAGTGATGTAACTGGGGCTTTGAGAGTGATTTAACCATCTGGGGCCAACCAAATGGCCAAAAATGGTAACCTGGAGTATCCTTTGTAAATGTTGGAGGACAAAGACTGAATGTAACATCATGCATCAATGAGTCAAGGGAGTAACCCCAGGAGAAAGACAGCATAGACCACACGTGTTTGGAGAAAGCAGAACGGGTCACAATAGAGAAAGGTAGGCACTGTCATCCCTGCCTCTTGCTCTTCAACAGCCCACTTCCCTCCTAACCAGCACTCATCAATGAGACAGCCAGTCCCCAAGCCAACCTCATTTGTGTCACCTCAGATGGGCACTGGAGGGGAAGAATTTCTCCCACAGTCCATGGGATAGACAGGATGTTTCTATCTGGGAGAGAACAACCTTCAATCGGTTCTCAAACTTCTTGATTCTCTCAGAAGGCAGAACCAGGAAAGCAACCATGAGCTTATACAGTTCCCAAAAGTTCGTCCTTCGTATGTAAATGCTGGTTTCCATTTTTTAAAGTGGGTTTTGCTTTAATCACCCCCTTCTTCACCCTACTGGTGGGAGAGATATCCACTGGAAATTTGGGGGGATGGCAAGTAATAACATCTGTCACAGCACAGTTGGATGGACAGGTGTTATTAGTCACACCTACTCCCAAACTGAGAAAGGGGGACAATGCCAGACATGCAGGCCTTACGGAGATCACCCCCAGGAACCAAGTGGGCAATGAGGAGCTGCAGAGTGCAGGGTGGCCCCCTGGTTTCCATGGGAGGTTGTGGCTGGCTTGTGTCAAAGATTCCCTGGCTCACAGGGAACTGAAACCTGATATTCCAGGATGTGCAAGGTCAGTGCTGGTCCCTTGACAAGGATCATTATTAGCTGTAGGACCTTATTCAGGGAAATAGAGTGGGCAGAGGAATGTGCAGAAAGGCTGTCTGAGGCCATCTCAGTCTTAGCAGATGTCACAGCAGCACCTGACATTGAGCTTTAGTATTATTTCTTACACTATTTTCTTCATTAACAAAAAGCTCAGTCACAGGCCAGTTCATTGTCACAGATACACATGCTTGTATAGAACACAGCTTATCTTCATATCTGATGTGCAAATTTATTTGGGTTTAATGAATAACAGTCAAAATTTGGATGAAAATATTATCAAATTTTATCCTCTCTAAGTGAAATTAAATCTGGTTAAAAGACACATATTGAAACTGGTAAGAAATCCAGTTTCCACTCACCCTCATCCTGCTCTGCGGGCTTGGGTCGTCCAGCCAAGGGGACAGGGAAGACCAGAGGACCACTAGCCCCAAGAAGCTCCCCACTATCCCCACAAACTCCAGGAGAGAAACTCGCGGATTTGGCGGAGAAACAGAGCAAGTGGCCTAGGTTACCGAAACATATTTCAAAACAGGACATCAAAAATTATAGTGGACATTGAAAACCCAGATGGTAAGGAGACTGCTTCAGGACAACAGGGACCCAGGGATCAGCACGGGGACCAGGCGGGTTGCAGCTCCCAGGCACAGTGCTTTTTGGTCTGCCTCAGGGCACCTGGGAGAGTGGAGTCACTGCTCCCTCCCCAGACAATGGGGGTTGAGCAACACCAGGGGAGATGTTGCTTGAAGGCATAGAGAGGGGAGTTGGACTGGGAGACAATCGCGCAGGGGCTGCGAACACCCATCCATAGCTCTGGGAGAAGTGAATGCCTTCAGCCTGCACCACCAGGGGCAGCCGGGAGTGTGCCCGTACCCCCAGCCTGGTGGGAGTGTGGATCTGTGGAAAGCCCAGACCTCGAAACCCTGAACAAGGAAAGGGCGTGGGGGTTCTCGGGTTTCTGGAGCCTGCGGTGGTGAACTCAGGGAAGCACGAGCCCCCTCGGGAATCCTGACTCTTGCATTGTGAATCCAGAAGGAACGCAGCGCTTAGGGGGTTCCAAGAGATCAAAACGGAGAAAT